AAAAAACGTAAAATTAAAGAAAGCGCACTAATTTTACTAAATCAAAATAATTGCGTTGCTTCATGTTCATTTAATTTAAGTCATACATGGTTACCTATGCTAAAATCTGAAGTAGACCAGAGAAACATACACCCAAATTAAATTTACACCAAAATTATTAATTAACATTACCTTCATTAATTTAAACAATGAGATTAAGTCAAAGTCACATAACTGACAATTTGCACAGACGAATTATCAGAGCGAATTTTCATATACTGTATTATCCTACTATTGTTACACAATTTATTAACATACTCTTTTTTAGGTTCATTTAGGTTCTTTTGATAACGATAGCAGAAAATAGCTATCGAAACGCCAAGGTAATTTTTCAAATTAATTTCTCTACTAATTGCAATTTTCTCTTACAGCTTGAGCCTAAGTGTGTCGCACGATACCCTCTAGGTGATAGTTCTTGATTGCTTTTTGATAAATAATTCGTTCTTATTGCGAAATAGGAGCACTATTTATCAATCGGTAATAAAAGACGTGAGAAAATTCTGTCTTTTTTAACGACAAACATTTTTGAGGCGAAATACCCAAAAAAAAGTTTGTAAAAAAATGAATCCGCCTCAACAATATAGAACTTAATTACGAACATTTTATGACGCGCCAATGCTTGCAGGTGGGCAAAGGGGATCGTCCGCGACCAGGGTTCATTTACCCAATCAGACGTGCAGATTGATCGACGCTATGCAACCCCATCCCAAGTTGCACCAAGCCTATTTTGCGGAAAAGTCACTAAACTTGGCATCCTCGTTTCCGCCGCATATTTGCTTAAAATCGCGGCTACGTGTCAACAAGGCGAAGACCTACATTTCGGTCATAAACGCAAATAGAATTTTCCAACTAAAAATAAGACTTTTGAAGGAAGTGCTAGGAAAGTGTGCCTAGGCCATAGGCATTACGGCCCAATCTTCGAACGGTTGCACTTAAAGCAGGATTGGGTGAAAGTTGGCTACTGGTGCGATTAATCGCATTAGGGATTAAGAGTTTTTCACTCAATTGAACTTGATTGGCTCTTGATTAGTTTCACTTTCAGTTTGGCTCATGGAGGCCCATGTGAGATAGAGACAATCGCGCATATTTTTTACTGATGACTCGAGCGCCATTTGAGATCTATTGGTCACTTACTTACCACTACAAAGAGCATTAAAATGCGCATTTTGCTATAAAAGATTTTCGATTCAAATTTCGAAAATGCTCCTTCTACAGGGTTTTGCAGAAATTTATAATTATGCATTCTTCCAAGTAAAGTTGGTCTCCTGTATTTCCAAAACAAAGCTGCTGCGCACCCATGTATACAGGGTGATTTAAAATTGGCGTCATTCCTTTTAAGGGGTGATAGAGGCTCCCTTGGGGAGTACCAGAAAAATATTGAAAAATTTTTTTTCCTAAATTTCTAGAAGATATTAACAGTTGAAGATCGAATTTCAACTTTGTTATTAAGCATTATTTTGAAATTGTTCCATGTTTAATTGGTAGCATATT